GGATGACAACTAAGAACGTGAGAATTGTAGTGGAAGAGTGGCAAAGAGGCTTTGAAGGTGCACCATGTGGCACAGGGACTCTTTGTTGATGTAACAGAATTAAGCTAGGGTTAGATATTTGGAGTACCTGAGCTTTTGTGCTTTCAGAAACAACAGCAACAACAAAAGAATGGAAATTAGAATGGGAAATGGTTTAGTACACTGAGGTCTACTATATTCCAAAGACTAAAACTAAAATTTTTGTGCCTTGCATAAAAATATATGCAAGGCATATATTGGGAGCAAACAATGTTTTTGTCCTTGAGAAGGACAAAAATAAAAATAAATAAGGTGTGATGCTGTATCCCTGTAACCCCAGCACTCTGGAGGCTGAGGAGGCAGGAGCGTTTGTGGGTTCAAGGCCAGCCTGAACTACATAGGGAAACTAGCTTAAAAGCACCAAAAATAAAAATAAAATAAATATAGGGTTGGCGAAGTGGCTCAAGTAGTAGAGTGCCTGCCTAGCAAATGTGAGGCCCTGAGTTCAAATCCCAGTACCACCAAAAAATAAAATAAATACAATAGAATAACATGGGAGTTTAAAAACAGTGATAAGCAGTGTCTAAGGGGTTAGAAAGGCTTGAAAGAGGAGGTGCTCTTTCAACTAATTCTTTTTTTTTTTTCCAACTAATTCTAGAAGGATAAGAACCACATATATGAGGTGGAAGAGATGGTGGCGGTACCTGCTGGTAAAGGCACAAAGTTATAATTAGTATGAATGATGGACAGGAAGCTAGATGGGAAGAATGAGCTGACTTTTAAAGGACCCTCTCAGTCTTATAAATGAGTTTCAACAATGGGAGCTGTACCTGGGTTTCTAAAATGAGAATTGTCATAATCAGTGTTACTGGGTCCTGTTGATGTTTTGTTTTTGCAATGCTGGGGGTCAGTTTTACTTTTTAGAAATTTCTCTGGTCAGAATAAGAGAGTATAGAAGATGAGACTACTTAAGGGCTGTAACCAGAAAGAGACCATGAGCAATTTACTGAGATCAAATATGTTGGGAATGTAAAAGTGGAACTGACAGCTTTTTTGGGATATTGCACATAGAAAGTGAGGGAAGAATATGACTTCAGAAAGGATTGAGTAGTGCCTCAGAGGAGAAAGAATTAGATTGATTGTTTTCAACAGAAGATTTTTTTTTTTTTTTTTTTTTGAGGAGTGTGCTGGAGCTAGCTGCTACTTGATAATCTGGGTTTGTTATTGAGGAGAGAGGTAGGGGATGAATACATAATTTGGGAGTCTCAGGCTTAGATGTGGTCACTCAGAGAGCAGGCAAAATAGGCATGATCAGAAGAAGAGAGCTTTGCAAGGAGGTAGAAGCCATTAGTGATGGCTTGACTACCCAGGGAGTGCTGCTGGGTGGGGTCTGAGCATGTAACTCAGTGGTAGACCACTGAAAAAGGAAAATAAATGCCACTGAATTTTAAAGTAAAGTTATGTAAAGCAGTTCACTAGAGGGATACTTAACTAGTTTTCTTGGAATTAATTTTTCTACCAGTATTTTTGTTCTTTTTACTGTGAAATGTTTCATACATACAAGTGTGCATGTGTGGAAATCTTTAATTTCTGTGTGTCCCTTTATTCTCATTGGGTTTGTTTATTTTTGAGATAGTGTCCTCCCCATGTAGCTCAGGTTGGCCTGGAACTAGAGATCCTGCTGCCTCTGCCTCAGAGTGCTGGGATTACAGACACATTCTACCATTCCTGGCTTTATGTGTGGTTTATATATGAAACTGAGAACGCTTTTAACTAAAAGAAGGAGTGTCATTATCATTCTTTAAAATAAGAATATGTGACAGGCTGGTGGAGTGGTTCAAGTGGTAGAGCACCTACCCTAGCAAGCATGAGGTCCTGAGTTCAAACCCTACTACCACAAAACAAGCAAAAAACCCCAGAATATGTGACAAAGATAATGTGTAGCCTACAGAGCCTAAAATATGTACCATGTGTCCCTTCACAAAGTTTGCCTACCTCTGAAAGGTCTTGGCCAGCGGAGCTCCTGGTCTGTGCCTGTGGGAACCAATGTGGCTGTTGGAGGGGCCTGGGAAAAGCCTTTGAGACTCACCAGTTTCTAATATAGAAGCAAATATATGAACTGGGAACCAACAGTGTGTGCACTGTGGCTGTTGGAGGCAACTGGGAAAAGAAGCATTTGAGCTTTGAGACTCATTTATTTCTAATATAGAAGCAAATATATAAACCTGTCTCAACAAAATCAACTTCATAGGGGGTCTAGTGTATAACAGCTTTTTGTGGATCACCTCCTTCGGTTTTTGTTGTTGTTCTCCAAGTTCTTAGTACACTTGGGCCATTGGGTACCTTGGCAAATGGATTTCATTAGTTTTAATCTCCACTGAAGCTGTAATAGTGGTGTCCTTATGATCTGTGTTGTGGAACTCTGCAAATAGTATAACAAAATATCCTTGATGGTGTCTGAAGTAGAACTGGTTACAAAGTATCTGAAATGTATATGGTACTCACCAAACTTTTCAGTCTCTGTGACTCTTGAAATAGGAATAGAGATTTGTTCAGGAGGAGCTGTGAATGTTTCAGGCATGTTAATTTTCCTCTACCTACAAGACTGCAGTTTGTTCCTGAAGCTAATTAGTTTAGACATTATAAGTAAGGACTCTAGAACCATACTTCCTGGATGCTTTGGCTTCCTTATCTATAGAATGGGGAAAACAGGGTCTACTTCCTAGAATTGCTGTGAGGGTTAAATAATTTAATATCGCCAAAGACTGCAAGCCATTGGGTGTGGTGCTACGTGTCCAATACCAGCACTTGGGAAGTTGAGGTAGGAGTATGGCAAGTTTGAGACCAGGTGAGATCCCAGTCTTATAAACAAAAAGACTGCCAACAGTGCCTGGCATAGATAGTAAGTGTTAATTTTGGGGGGGGGGAAGGTAGTAGGATTTGATCTCAGGGCTTTCTACTTGGTAGGCAGGTGCTTTGCCGCTTGAGCCACACCTCCAGCCTAAGCATTAACTCTTTATTATTGCTGCTTCTACAGTCCATTTTTCAAATGGACTGATATTAAGCAGTTTACTCTTTTTTTTTTTGGCAGTACTGTGGTCTGAACTCCACCTCACACCTTCAAGGCAGGCACTCTACCACTTGAGCAACTCCTCCAGCCCTAAGCAATTGACTTTTTTGGTAAATAAGAAACAAGGTCTTTGAGGAAGAAAGACATAAGTTTTGCCAAATTGCGAAGACTGCCTTTTAGAAAACAGTTGGCAGTTGGCAAGAGGAGTATAAAAAAATCTTCATGTTCTTTAATCCTGTAATTCTGGTTCTAAGAGTTAGGCTTTACAAAAAAGTTCATGTAGGGAAAAATATGTCCAGTGTAGAGTGCATGCTTATTAGGCTTGAGGCCATGGGTTCAGTCCCCAGCACCAAGAAAGAGAAAGAAAATAAAGAAGAGAATATGTTCAGAAGGCCTTATGACATTAATGGCTATATAGGGAGAACTGGAAAAATTAGGAATGCTTCATGGAGTAGGCTCACAGAATGAAATGTCACCCTGCCATAAAAATGAACATGGTGAAGACCAGAAATGTGTAGAAACACCTATGGTGTTGATACTAGGTAGAGAAACTGCTATTTTAAGAAACCATAAACTGGGCCAATGGGAGAGGAGAAGATGGGAAAGATAATTGTAATTTCCTTTTTTTTTTTCCCCCAGTGCTGGGCATCAAAGCCGTGGCCTCATGCATGAGTGCCTATCATTGAGTTATGTGCCCAGCTCAAGAAAAAAATTTAATTAAAATTGTGCAGCATAGAAGATCAACTTGTTAGTAAATATTTCTTAGGCCATTAAGTGGGGGAAAGAAAGAAAAAAGAGAAAGAAAATGGCAGTTAGCTAAATGAAGAAGGAACAAATGGAATCAGGTGCATCCTGTCGTAGCATACTTCCTCAGGAAAGTTCTAGAACTCTGGTGATGGTCTTGTTGGCAGAACCAAAGAGGTGCAGATTCTGGATGAAGCCCAAGGTTTGATAATCTATACTAGAGTATAGATTCTGTGCTTCAGAAAAATTAGGAGGGTACTTTTTTTTTTCATCCAAAGATTTGGTGTGTTTGCAAGCTTTCAAAATATTTCATAGGTGAAGAGAGACTTCTGTACTACTTTTGTGTGGATTGTTGCTGAAGGGCATGTACTGGCCTGGGTTTGGTTTTGTTTTTGTTTTTTTGGCTGTGCTGGAGGGCCTTGGGCATGCCAGGCAAGCACTGCTGTACTACCTACCCCCAGCACACTCAAGCTGGGACTCTAGAGCTGACTCTAGACATGCATTCTGCAGGCAGATACACGTTAAAGTCTGTATGCGCAGCGAAGGCAGTGGTGACTGTGTCACAGACTGTGTCTGTGAATTTTGCAGTGAAACTTTCTCAAGAATTCATTTTAATGATTAGATGATACGTCTTAAGATGAAATGTGGAGTTTATTTTTTTAATTTGGCAAGTCCTCTTCTAGTGTGTATATTTTGAGAACCAGGAACAGAGACCTTGTCATCTTTTCCCTGTGTGCCCAGGGAAATGTGTAGGATATAAGGCATTAGATTAGGGCTAGGGTAGGGCTAGGAAGAAGAATGTGTGATAGTTGTGACAGGGTTCAAAGGAAGACAGCAACCAAGCTTACTCGAGAATTTAAAAATTAATTTAGTCATTTAGTCCAGTATCTGTATAAACAAAAGATTCCTGTAAAACAGATGGGTGTGCGTGTGTGTGTGTGTGTGTGTGTGTGTGTGTGTGTGTGAGTGAGAGAGAGAAATGTAATTTGAAAAGGTGTATTCAGGTTGTTACAATGCAAAGAACAGAAAGTACAGTATGACAGAACCTTCTTAACTACTGAGAATACAAAGAAGGAAATAATTTATTATAGAAGAGAGTGGTTTAAGTTAGACAGACACTGGTACAGAATAAAAGTTTTCCCAAGAGTAATTTTCTTTTTCTCTTAAGGTATCCCAGCCCACCAATGGGATCTGTCTCAGCACCCAACATGCCTACAGCAGAAGAAAATCTGGAATATGTACGGACTCTCTATGATTTTCCTGGGAATGATGCTGAAGACTTGCCCTTTAAAAAGGGTGAGATCCTGGTGATTATAGAGAAACCTGAAGAGCAGTGGTGGAGTGCCCGGAACAAGGATGGTCGGGTTGGGATGATTCCTGTCCCTTATGTTGAAAAGCTTGTGAGATCGTCACCACATGGAAAGCATGGAAATAGGAATTCCAATAGTTACGGCATCCCAGAACCTGCTCACGCATATGCTCAACCTCAGACCACAACTCCTCTACCTGCAGTTTCCAGTGCTCCTGGGGCAGCAATTAACCCTTTGCCGTCCACACAGAATGGACCTGTGTTTGCAAAAGCAATCCAGAAAAGAGTACCCTGTGCTTATGACAAGACTGCCTTGGCATTAGAGGTAAGATTATCAAGACTGACCTTGTAGATCCTTTGACATTGAGTTTTCATTTTGGGTTTTAATTTAGGTTTATGAAGGTAATGACTGCTCATTTAAAGCTGTATTCATGGGAATTAGAGAACAGGGTGATTTTTGAAGATTCACGCTGTTGGTGTTTTTTGTTATTGTCCTGTCCTATTTTTTCTCCAAGTTCTCAGTCTGCTTGCTTTTTTTTCCTGCTCCAAATCCTTGTAGATTTAGTCTCACAATAGTTGTTTTTCTTTCCAGTAAGGGAAGTTAATAACTAGAAAGAGCCATTTCCTAGAGGCAAAATCAGCATACAGACACATCACTGCTTGTATGGGTCATATTTCTAACATTGTGATCGGCTGAGGAGAAATATGAGTAAATATCTTAGAATTTATCTTCAGTTTGACAGGAATGATTTTTAAGCACCTGTTAAAAGTTTTGTAAATTACCATGGCTTGAAATAGAACTTGAACATTTTAATTGTCAAGTCATTTTCTTCTAACTAGACTTTTGCTGAAGTTAGCATTTTTCTGTGGTTTGCTGAAATACCAAAAAAAGTCCTGAAGATAAGTGCTGATGAACCTAATGAATGGGAGCTATGTGTCTCAAAAAGTAGATGTTTGAGACAGTTTGTAGATGCAGGGTGAATGACCATATATAAGCACAAATCCCATGGTGAGCCTAGGGGAGAAAGAACGGGTGGATCTGGAAAATAAAAGTAGATTTTAGTACCCTTTTTGGTGGTTGTTAATTTTTATTGATGTATAAAATATATGCAGTGAGGTGAACATTACTGTATCAAAACATGGAAATGGGGAGGTGAAGATAGGGGGATTGTGGTTTGAGGACAACCTGGGCAAAAAAGTGAGACCTTGCTTAGAGAACAAGTCAGGTGTGGCAGGAGGCCCTATCTAGAAAATAACTAAAGAAAAAAGGGTTGGAGGCATGGCTCAAGTGATGGAGCACCTGCCTAGCAAGTGCCCTGAATTCAAACCCCTATACCACCAAAAAAAAGAAAAGAAACCAACTAGAGCAAGCTGCTCACCAACGAGAGTCCTGCCTGAGCAGGCCTTCTCCAGCTTTCTCACCCCCCATAGACCTATCCCTGTACACAAGTATACCTCTGGCCTGGCCCACACTTCAGCACCTGAGCTCTTAATATCCTCCAGTTTGCTTCATGGTTTCAGCCTTTTGGAACATTTTCTCATCTGCCATTTCAGAGTGGTGTAATTTATTTATGTTTAGACACTGGTTTTTGCCATTTTATTTATGTTTAGACCAGGTTGAGAACCTTGAGGTTGAGGCTCCCAGAATTTCAGGCACCTGTTTTGTGACCTCTGGCTCTAAGATGTTTGTTTTAGAGACCTGTATCTGCTTTGTGGGTGTGCAGAAAGCGGGGGAGGGTTGTGGAGAGGAGCACCAGATATTATAGAGGGATTGCTTAGAGCTTGGTTAATGATGTATATTTTAAGATAACCTACATATTTGGCCATTATGAAGCTCCCCATGTTTTTCAAACCCCAGAGTGAAGTCTCCACATCTGAGCCTCCTCGTGACACTAATTGAGCCATCCAAAGCATCATTGTGGGCTTTGTTTGGTGCTTCACTGAGTGAGTGTAAATGGGACCCAAATACACCTTTGCTGTACTCCACTTAATGTTGTTTCTTTCTATATATTTAAATGAGACTTTTGGCTATAACGTAAGTAAATGTGTTTATATGATTGTTGTCTTCTAAAACTATTGGGATACTGGTGCCTGTCTGATCTTGTTAAAAACAGCTCTCTTGGGACTGTTGCAATTAGGTTACCAGGAAAAGTATTAAAATTAAAATGAGAAACAGTGAGGCAAGTAGGACAAAATGTGCCAGTAATTGAAGCTTCCTCATTCCCCCTTGATAGTATGGGAAGAGCGATGGCTGAGGTGAACTGCATTCCCCCCTTATTATTTCAGAAGTTTTTTTTTCATAAAACTTGATTTTTAAAAGAATCTTCCTGCAAGTAGAGAGAGATTTAAAAATTGATCTGCATTTAGCCATTTTCCACACTTGAAGGGGAACACTGTGACCTGTGTAAGATAAATGGAAGCAGGTGTCCTCACTCCTTGACATCAACAAAGCTCTTTAATGTCCTTGGTGTTAGTGGGATGAAAAGGGATCCTGGGAAGCAGATCACATCCTACAGGAAAGTTCTCAGGTTGAGAAAGGCAGTATAGCCCATTCCAAAAGAATATCTTGACCAAAAGAGAATACGTAGCAAGGGTGCTGTTGTTACAAAATACCTGATAACCTATAGTAAAGTTGCATTTTTCTATAGTAAAGTGATGGGTAAAGTAGAGGGAGGCAGAGGAGGGAAAAATGCATGAAGGACACTAATACCACTGAGTAGCTGCAGAGAAGCAAAAGTGCCAGTCTTGTTGAATAAGGGCAAAAGTGGCAAAAGATCAAGCAGGGGAAGGAAGTTTTGCCATATCAGAAAAGAGCTAAACTGAGGAGATTAGCAGTTTTCTTGTATCTGCGTTTTTTTTTTTTTTTTTTTTTTCTTCCCTGTACTGGGGTTTGAACTTGAGGCCTCACGCTTTCTAGGTAGTTATACTACTTGAACCACACCCCCAGACCTTTTTTACTCTAGTTATTTTTCAGATGGAGTCTCTGTTTTTGCCTCAATCCTCCTTTGACTTCCCATATAGCTGGGACTACAGGCATATATCACCATGTCCAGCTTATTTATTGAGATGGGGGTCTCACTAACCATTTTACTCTTTCTGGCCTTGACCCTTGACCCTTGAGCCTTCTAGTCTCTGCTTCCTGAGTATAGTTTGCTTTTCTTATTGATAAATTTTAAGACTTAGAGTAAATGCTTGATTACCTTGTAATAATATTCTCATTCATACTCAGTATGCTTTCCTGACTAAAAAAGAAAGGGAAGAAATTTCTTAGCATCTTTAAAATTGTACTTAATCATGAGTATTTTCCATATAAAATTTGTATCCATGTGTCCAAATTAGCCTCAAACACACATTTCTGTGTGATACGGATTAAGAAAACAGTTGATAACATGAGCTGGGGGTCTGCAGGAATCAAAGTCAGTGAACAGATTCTGTGAAAAGAGAATAACAGTGTCTCAGGCTGCAAATGAAACCTGAAGTGATTCAGGATAGAATTGATATAAATCAAGAAGAAAATCAAGTTGTAATGACCTTAGGTTAAACTATCTTCCTAATGCTTCTAGCCGTCTACAGTTGCCAAGTCCATTGGCCTTCCAGTCTTAGCTTGGTCACCTCTAACATTCACTACATCAGCCTAGGAACTTGGGATATAGTAGTGAACAAAAATAAGATTTCTGACCTTGTGGAATTTCTGAAAACAGTCTCCTAAGGTGATTTGTTCTGAATTGTACGGCTCCGGTAGTTAACAAGTTCTTGTGTTCTAGCTGTCTACCAGGGGCAGAAATCCACAACCAGCCTCTTCTCTATGTTTATAGAGTCTAATGTTTGTTTTTTGTTTGTTTTGTTGCCCATTATGGCTTGAACTCATGGGCTCAAGCCATTCTCTGGCCTCATCCTCCCTAGTAGCTGGGACTATAGGCCAAGCTACCATGACCAGCTTTGGTGATTATTGGTTTGTCCCTCTCTTAGAGGGTTAGAGGGTTGTTTTTTTTTTTTTAAAGTACTGAGGTTGAACTTGGCCTCATGCTTACTAGGGAGGCATTCTACCACTTGAGCCACCCCACCAGCCCCCTCTTAGAGTTTTTGCTTTCATCTCTGAACTTCTCTGAACCTTTTTTATTCATGATTATGTCATCTAGCATATTGATTACCCTTGGTTTCATGGTATCTGCAGGTTTCATAAAATAACCATTGAGATCTTTGTACTAAAGTCCTCCTCTGCATTCTTTCATCCTCTCCTGATCTATGTCTCATATCTATAAAAAGACAGTGAAGTTGTCTGCCAGCTTTGTTCTTGGTGAGCCTGTGCTCTTCCATATACTCCATTTCCCATTCTAAATCCTCACAAACTCTTTACTAATCCCATCTAAGATTTTGTCCAGGTTTGATTTCATGCTCACCAGTTTACATTTTGTAGAATTTGCTATCTTCTCTGGATTTTTTTTTTTTTTTTTTGGTGGTACTGAGGGGTTGAATTCAGAGCCTCATGTTAGCATGCATGTGCTTTACCACTTGAGCCACTCTGCCAGCCCATCTTCTCTGTTTTGACAAAAACCAAGAGATTGTCCTATAATGTAATTTTTCTGTGACGGAGACCAGTCTTGGAATCTTACTCCAGTGTGTTTGGCCATTTATTTAGTATATCTGTCCTTGTCAACCTAAGAATGTCCTTTTTATCTTTGGTGCTTGGTTTTAGGGCCTCATGCTTGCTAGGCAGGCATGCTACCACTTGAATGACTCCACCAGCCCTGGTGCATGTTCTTTTTTGGTTCTCAGTGTTCTTTGTGTGGGCTCACCAGCATCCTTAAGATGCTCTTTACTCCCCCTTGGGGTCATCCATGACTGTGTTTTGGGATTCTTTTTGCCCCATTTTTAAATCCCTACTCCTTGGATTACATTTGGTTTCTAGGGCTTTTTTTTTGTGGGGGGGCAGTATTTTGTTTGAACTCTGATTTCCATTTCAGCAGTTGGTTTTGTTTCATTAGTTGAAATTAAATTCACATTAACAGTTTCCTTATTGCTGCTTTCTACTTACTGAAGTGAAGTAGTCGGCAAAGTATATTTCAATTTCAATTTCAGTAGCACTCATTGTTCATCAGGTGCCCACAAGCTGGCATTCATCTTCTGAGGAATCTCAGGTATGTTTTACCCATACTGTGGTAGTATGTGAACATCCAGGGCTGGGGGAATAATACCCTGGGCCTTTTACCAAGACTGGTTATGTTCCTCTCCTGTCTGTGTTTTTTATTTTTTGGCAGCACTGCAGTTTGAACTCAGGTCCTTGTGCTTGCTAGGCAGGCACTCTACTGCCTGAGCCACTCTGTT